TGATGAAAAATCATCACAAAATTTCACACTTCTGCAAAATCTGTAATCTAAATTTTCATTGTGCCTACGTTGTCAACTATTTTTAAATTGTGATAAACATTTTTATTTTAATCCCTCTAAATTTAAACTGATTTGGACCAGATGAATGCATAATATTCAGATGAACTGTTCACACACTGATATGTTACAGGGTGTCCTTTTTAACTGAAACCCTTACAAATCATGTGTTCTTTAGATTTCTTTGACACAGAAAATCGACACAATGACCCACAAACATAAGCCTGTAAACCACTGGTAGCAGTTGGGACCAGTTGGCAAAAGATTTAACGATGCTAAGCCTGACTTCTTCCCAAATATGGAAGGGAAAGCTGCAGTCAGGCGCATCTTGTATTTGGAGCAAAGGGTGAGGACATGGATCATCAAACTCTCCTGTGAGCTCATTACTCCCTGCAAAAGGGCAGGATGCTTCCAAGATGCTGGGAAGAGATTAAGAAAGATGGCTCTGATTTCAGGTTTTTGCCAATGGAATCAATTTCTTTTCCTAGAACCGCATGGTCCTGGGCCAAACTGAAACAGTTACCCACTTAGATTGAATCGTTTCAGATCTTTCCAGCCAAGTGTAAACATTTTGCTCTTGTTGACAGAAAAAAACAAGGGTTATAAATGGATTTCACTCATAAAAGAAGATTAAAGGTCTCCCATCAAAAAGTACCAGTGGTCTTCTGTTGTTTTAACAAAGCGCTCAATTGGTACACCAGTCAGGACAGGTCTGTTGGTGGTTGTCTGTTGGTGATTGGATGCAAACGTGTGGTAGGCTTAAGGGACACATTCCATGTAGTTTTTAAACCACCTTTATTTACATCCCAGAACATTTTCATGTAATCTGCTTTAAAACTGATTTACAACTGTTTGACACTAGCATCCTACTGATATCCTGATGCATGCTCAATAATCCAGGTAGAAAAATCCAAAAAAGTTCAATCTGGTCCTCTGGACATTCAAAAAAAAAAAAAAAAAAAATATAGAAACGTTTCGTCTCTCATCCAAGAGACTTCCTCAGTCTGAGGTGCTGTTTTCAGCTCAGTCTCTTAAATAGCACCTTCTCAGAGTGGATCTACCAGTTTGCTGCTGACAACCAAAACCAGCTGATCACATGCTCAAGAAGGACCATCAGCCTAACAATGGATCATTAGCACACTGATGGCTGTTTACTACTCACAGAGGGCTGAGTGATACTAGCAATCACAGCATTGTAAGAGGGGGACAGTTGAACCCGGAGGCTTCCACCCCTGTTTAATGATGGACGATTTCTTTTCACAAAGATGGCCTCCTTTACTCCTCTCTCAAACCATCGTTCCTCTCTATCCAGGATGTGAACAACTTCATCCCTGAAAGAGTGACCGCTGGCCTGGAGATGAGTGTAGACCGCAGAATCCTGGCCTGATGATGTTGATCTTCTGTGCTGGGCCATCCTTTTGGCCAGTGGCTGTTTAGTTTCCCCGATGTAAGACTGATCACAGCCCTCCTGACACTGAACAGCATACACAATATTGCTCTGTTTGTGCCGGGGGACTGGATCTTTGAATCAGACACCACTCTGAGCAGCAGGACCACGCTTTCCACAGAACAACTGTGTCAACTCTTGAAACTGTGCCTGCAGTCAACTTACTTCACATATGGGGAGCAATATTATAGGCAGAAACATGGGTGTGCTATGGGGTCTCCAGTTTCTCCTATTGTTGCCAACCTGTACATGGAGGAGGTAGAAAAGAGAGCCTTGACGTCCTTTTCAGGGACACCACCAAGTCATTGGTTCAGGTATGTTGACGACACCTGGGTTAAAATTAAATCTCAGGAAGTCCAACATTTTACTGACCACATCAACTCTGTGGATAAATACATCAAGTTCACACAAGAAGATGTAAAAAATGGCAAGTTGGCTTTCTTGGACTGTGAGGTCTCAGTCTCTGATAGAGGACATTTGCAAACCGAGGTGTACCGCAAACCCACCCACACAGACCAGTATTTGCAGTTTGACTCCCATCACCCTTTGGAGCACAAGTTAGGAGTCATCAGGACTCTGTATCACAGAGCAGACAGCGTCCCCACTAGCTCAGGAGCCAGGCAGAAGGAGAAATCCCACACAAAACAGGCTCTAGAGCAATGTGGATATCCTAACTGGGCCTTCCTGAAAGCAGAGAAGAAACCCAAACAGGACTCCAGTCAGCCATCAGGTGAAAAGGAGGAACCCAGACCCAGACCAGTGGTCATTCCGTATGTTGAGGGAGTATCAGAGAAACTGAGACGTTAATTTTCTAAACATAACGTCCCAGTGGATTTTAAACCCCAAAATACATTACGGCAAAGACTGGTTCATCCCAAAGATCCAGTCCCCCGGCACAAACAGAGTAATGTTGTGTATGCTGTTCAGTGTCAGGAGAGCTGTGATCAGTCTTACATCGGGGAAACTAAACAGCCACTGGCCAAAAGGATGGCCCAGCACAGAAGATCAACATCATCAGGCCAGGATTCTGCAGTCTACACTCATCTCCAGGCCAGCGGTCACTCTTTCAAGGATGAAGATGTTCACATCCTGGATAGAGAGGAACGATGGTTTGGGAGAGGAGTAAAGGAGGCCATCTTTGTGAAAAGAAATCGTCCATCATTAAACAGGGGTGGAGGCCTCCGTGTTCAACTGTCCCCCTCTTACAATGCTGTGATTGCTAGTATCACTCAGCCCTCTGTGAATAGTAAACAGCCATCAGTGTGCTAATGATCCATTGTTAGGCTGATGGTCCTTCTTGAGCATGTGATCAGCTGGTTTTGGTTGTCAGCAGCAAACTGGTTGATCCACTCTGAGCAGTTGCTATTTAAGAGACTGAGCTGAAAACAGCACCTCAGACTGAGGAAGTCTCTTGGATGAGAGACAAAACGTTTCTATATTTTTTTGCTTTGTTTTGTTTTTTGAATGTCCAGAGGACCAGATTGAACTTTTTTGGATCCTACTGATAGTTCAGTGGCTGCAGTAGCTTAGTAGACAGTGTTGCAGTCTTGTAATCCCGACGTTGTGGGTTTGAGCCCAGGATGCATCAAGAAGGGCATCCGGAGTAAAAAACAAATTGCCAAATCTTTTGTGCAAGTTAGCTCATTGCAGTGACCCCTGAAGAAGGGAGCAGCCAAAATAAACTTGTTTTATCTCATAGTTACATATATGACTTGAAAAACAAACACACAAAAAAAACCTTAGACACAAAATAATTAGAGCATGTTTGCAGGTTTAATGGCGTTATTTTGAATAAATTTCCTGCATCTAAGGCTTCGGTTAAGTAAGAAAGGCAAAACGCCCCACCAAGATGTAATACCTTTTAAGTCGTGGCAAATTATCTAGCATTGTGTGTAAGGAATATGATGAATGCAGTTCTTGTGAATGATGCATCTGTTTGGCAAAGGTGCACTCTGTCAGGGAGATGTCATCTATCAGAAGAGGTAACTCACAGCAAACATCTGAACACAGTAACCACTGCGTTTGGAGAAAGAAAGAAGCCCAAGTGGTCAGGATGATCACAGGAAACAACAAAAGATATTTTGGAGTCACTGGGGTGAAACAGCTGGGAGACATGGGGTACTATCCATCACTGTGGTGACTTACACACAGAAAAAAAAAAAAAAAAAAAAAAAAAATCTCACAGAAAAGAGACGTGTGATTGACACATACTGGATCAAGGATTCATACAAAATAAAAGCTAAGACACTGGTTCTTTGATTGTTTGAAAAAAATTAAATACCGAGCAGTTCAAGAGGAATAAATGGTGATTTTACTGCAAACCAACACTGATCAACAAACATTGATGCTGCACTACTTGTCATATGGGACAGAAACTGCATGTAGTGTAAAATACAAAGAGATGAAACACACAAACAGGACTTGATCTTTTGGAACAAAAGAACTGCAGACAACATGATGCTGTCACCCATGTGGACAGACTCTTACATTTAATGAGCTAAATTTAATGTAACTGCTAACATAAATTTGCACAAAAAACAAGAAAACAGTTTCTTAAATATGTGCCATCTGCTTGGCTACAAACAGTAGGATCAAACAATTCATTTTTATTTAAATAATTTGACATGTACAACTATTTAGAGTCTTTTGTGCTGTTGCAATAACGCACTAGGGAGACAACAAAAAGACACCTGCTTGAAAGGCTGAAATACTAAAAAAATGTGTTTAAGTAAAAAAAAAAAAATTTAATTGTTATTTTTTTACACAATATAAAATAAAATATATGTAAAAGTCTTGAATTACAAAACAATCCTGATTTAATAAAGTGTAAAAATCATTTTAGGTCAAGTGAACAAGGTTGTATAAAGTAAAACAAGCTTATAATGTGTTACACTGATTAAAAAAAAAGTTTTAGACTAAAAATAAAAAATAAAATACTTTGTAAAAAACTTCAGTACCAGCCAGCCAGCCTTTATCTTAACCACTTCTTCATTTTTAGGTCATGCAGTTAAGATAAGATGGAACATCACTGGTCCCACAGGAAAATGTTGTGGTGTGTATCTCCTGCAGTCAATGAGCAAGAAGTGGGGTACACCATGAACAGGACACAAGTCCATCCCAAGGTCACATAGAGACAATCAACCATTCACACATACCACCCATCATGCATGGAGAGTACGTGCAAACTCCAGCCAGAAAGGTCCCTGGCCAGGACGGGCCAACATTTTGCTGAACGGTAAGAACTCTACCAACTATACCACGTGACCTTTGTCTGTAGTACTTCTGGTACTAAACGTACAACTCAATAAATACAAAGTTCAATTCAAGTGCTCAGTAACTGTTGCATAGTTTTTGATGTTTTCTGCTATGGGCAATTGATATTTAGGACTATAATCCAAAACTATATATCAAAATCAATAACATCATCACCTGCCTTTTTTTTAATAAAGCTTTTACATTCATTATACCTTCACCATATGTGTTTGTTTCCCCTTACCTTTGCTAATGTCCTGGTACTCCAGCCACAGCTGTCTCTGGACCTGCTTGTTGGGGTACCAGATGGTGCAGGACTCCTGGAAGCCATACACTGCCTCCTGCACGTAGTGATTCCCAAACTCTCTGAGGATGGAGACAAAGTCGCTTCGCTGTGTTGCCCCATCCAGAGAATGGATGGCTGAGCTAAAAGCTGAAACGAAAGAGAAGAAAATATTTACTGTTGGTACCAGATGGCATGCTGGGCTTTTAGGTTTCAGGCAAAGAAATGAACACCTATAACCAAATCACAATTGAACTGACACCAAGATTGTAACCAGGCCAATCAAAATAAAACAAACTGTTTTAGAAAACACAGAACAGAATGAATAATTGCAGTTGGTCTTGGTCAAGATGTTGTTGAAGCCTCTTATTTTACAATAAAGTCCTCATTTGACTTTTTATACTAAGTTTGTCCAACTTCAGGAAGGTATTGATCATCCCAGTTGTGAAGTGGAAGTTGGTGTTGAATCCAACATTTTTCAGTCAGATCATCTGGACAGTTTCTTTTTTTGTGCTGAAACGTTTCACCTTCGATCCGGATTTTATACCTGGATTATTGAGCATGGACTTTGTTGTTTTCAACCAGTTTGACAAGACTGTCTACAAGGAAGAGGGCTGGCGATGGAGGAGGGGTGTACCAAAGAGACCATCTTATCACAAGCAGAACTGGTTTGTTCCACTTTGGAGTAAGCTGTTGGGGGAAGAATCAGTTTTGTTGTGTGTTTCCTTGACTGATGAAGCCTTCTGGATTGAAGGCGAAACATTTCAGCACAAAAAAAGAAACTGTCCAGATGACTTGACTGAAAAATGTTGGATTTTATACCTGGATTATTGAGCATGGACTTTGTTGGTGTTGAATGATCAACTACTTGTTTCTCACTAGGAAGGGTAAACATCTGAGCCAACTGCTCACTATTCATGAACTCTTTCAACCAAAGCATGTTGATTATCCTCACTGTCCACACATGGATATGAACAAGCATTGGGCTTACATGAAGTGGGGGGGGGGGTGGGGGGAGTCTTACACAGTGTGAAATCCTTTTCCTTAAAGTTAAAGCTGTTCCAGGAGCATCAGATTGATCGATCACAGCAAAGATTTGGAACATATCCAACTTTGGGACTGTTCCATAGACTCTTGTGAAGGATCAAAATCAGAAAACCTGGATCTGGTATAGTACAAGTGTTGTTATCTGTAACATTTTGTACAGTGTGGATGCAACTTGCCACTAAGACTTTTTGCCTACATTTTAAAACCTGTCTGAAAATGATAATAATACTAATTACTAATAACAACAACAAAAAAAAAATGCTCAATGTAAATATAACTAACAGCTGAAGTGATGTACCCATCATGTACACAGCTTCAGCACTTTCAATACATTATATCACTGCCCTACATTTTCAAAAGAAAACAAACAATTGAAAACATGAACTTACGTATTATTGCTTTAGTTAAATATAAACATTTCCTTATATGTTAGGTAAAATTTACTTGCTTTGATGGCTCATGTTTTAATGTGAATCAAAGCATGTGGCACTGTCACTTAAATTCACAGCTAATTGTGACAACAGTGTATAAAGGTTATTGCGTAAAGATTAGGGATGCACCGATCCACTTTTTCCACTTCTGATACCGATATCCATTGTTAAGTATCGGTCAATACCAATCTGATACCGGTCTGATACAGTTAAACAGTGCTGAATTCTTTATTTTCATTCAACCTTTATTTAGACAGGTAAATCCCATTGATGCTTGATTAAGTTGGTAGTGTTATAACTGGAAGTTTTAGTGACACCCCCTGGAACTGTCGCTGTGCACGTATTGCATGTATTGCACGTATTGCACGTATTGCACGTAGCTGTCGAATGTGTTGGCTGAGGTAGTGTGAAATAGTTCCAGATGGCTGATCCTTTCGCTCGCTCCATTTTGAAAACAATCTGTGCGGTGAGTTTGCCAGCACATGACGTCACTCAGAGCACAAAGCATAGAATTAGAGTGAAGAGATCTGCCCAGTCATGGATCGGTCACATTGTCACTGATACCAGATCCAGAAGTTTGTTCGATATCGGGACCGATATCGATATTGCATCGAATCGGTGCATCTCTAGTAAAGATGCTGTAAAATTAAAAACAAAAAGGTTGAATCAAACGTTTCTTTTTAGCAAAATAACGAAGTCCAGATGACATGATTCAACCTTTTTGTTGTTATATACCTGGATGACTGAGAAAACAAACTTTGTGTTTTTGAAACCATTAGTGAAAAGGCCAGACTTCAGGGGTATCTGAGGCAGGCTTGAAACACAAGAGTCAGGGTGGCTTCTGGGTAATACCAGATGGCTAGGCCTCAGACTGACGAAGCCTCTTGGATGAGGGGCGAAACGTTTCTTTTTAGCAAAAAAAACGAAGTCCAGATGACATGATTCAACCTTTTTGTTGTTATATACCTGGATGACTGAGAAAACAAACTTTATGCTGTAAAATTGTTTTCATTGAATTTACTGAAAAAAAAAATGGCATTAAGGTATTTAGAACTAATTTAACTTTGTTCATTACACAATGTTTTGCAAATGAATCATGGCAGGGATTTACTGTAGGGGTTTTAAAAGCCAAAAGTGTAAAAAAAAAAGATAAAACCTAGTCATTTTATCAAGATAAAAAATGTACAAATTTATCTGGGCTTATGAGCTCCGTGATGTTTATTTTATAATATTGGTTTTAAAAAAAGAAGGGAAAAAAAAGACCCTTGATAAATAAGAATCATAAGTTGATTTCCCCCCAGTTTAAAGAAATATTCAAGATATTTTGTATAATCTCAAGCAGGGCTTCATTTGTAAACCGATTTATGTCAGAACGCAAAGTGAGCGGGCCAACGGCGGGGGAGAGGGTGGTTGGGGGGAGGGGTCTGGGGGTCCTCCCCCTGAAAATTTTTAATAAAGAACATGTGATTTCCAGCGTTTTGGCGTATTTTAACAACTTGTTAAACATCTACATTTTCCAACATTTGTAAACACTCTGCTTCTGTCAAGCTCCCCCCTCTCCTCCTTATTTCACATAACCATCAAGTAATTTGAACTCAGAACCGAGCCTGACTTACTTGACGGTTCAATCAGTCCCTGCCCGTTGTTGTCCGAATCCACATATGCAACCTCCAGGTGCCTGCCCTGCTGCTTTCTGTGTACTCCTGCCCACGTACGACTGCCTGCTCAGCACTTCACTCTTTTCGGGGCGGAGATTTCTTTAAGGGTAGATGCAGAAATGCTTCACTTGAAGAGGCAGATCACATGCTGTTGTGCTTAAAATTAGTGTTTATGTAATTATTTTCAGTTTACATATCAAGTATAAGTTTTATTCATTCAAGGCAGTCATATTTGTTCATAACTTTATTATTAGTAAGGCTGAGAGTTACCGGATCCAAGCCGGATCATAGCAAATAGTTACTGAAAGAACCCTGTCAAAATAAGAAGGTTCCCAGATTCTGTTCTGGCTTAAATTAAGCCCCAATCTTAAGTACTAAGACATTTGACCGCACTATAAGAATTGTTTTTTCCTTCTTTAGGTCTCCTTGATTCTGAATGATGATCCCCCTATACTCTCCATTACCTGCTCAACCTAAGACAACATGGTTTGAATTAAAGGAAATTTGGAAAACCTCTTTCATTGTGAAGGAATTCATGCATCAAACTGTTTTTCCTGCTTTGTATGTATCCCAAGCCACTCTGTATCTTTACAATGCTTATACATCAGCAGTGTGTTCCCACAAGCAGCCCCAAGCTCGACCCTTACGCTGCTTCAAGCACAACACCACTGTCCCAAGTATCATATCTGCATACGCTTTTTGAATTCATCACGTCCTGGATGACTGAGAATCTTTACCAGCACATATCTGCAGTAGGCTGTTCCATGCCTTTGTCAGGTTCAGGGTTGTAGCCTGAGCATGAGGCCAGCGAGAACAGTTCTGTTAAAACTGTTCAAAGGCCTAGCTACGTCAGTGTATACAAGAACCTTGTCATGGACATACTCCTGATACCAGCATGCTGTACCATGTTCCAATCAGGACTTCAAAATACTGCCGATATGATCATAAATCACCAACACTTTACTATAGATGTTTAGTGCATGAATAAATCCCTCCACAAGCTATATTTTTCTCACATGTGTAATTGGGAGCCCACTCTGTTCTCAAGATGCACCTAATGATGACCACTCATGCGCTTTTGGGGTTGTCATTCGGTTTCAAGGCGTAAGTAAGAACACTGCTATTTTGCTGTCGTTCAGTAGTCACATGCGTAAACAGGTCATGCTTTAACATTCTACGTGACTGGACAGGTTTGCCAGTGGTGTAGTCTACATTTTTGTAGTGGGCATACCGCAGTCAAGTTAGTTTTATGTTGGACGTTGGACACCGCTGAAGGCATGGAGCGCGAATGTCCAACGTTCCATGTAAAACTAACTTTACCATGGCTGGTCCGTATACTGTGATTAGAAACCAAAGTACACTTGTTAGTACAATGTAATTGTCAATTTATTTAGATTTTTAAGCATATTGAACATTTCCACATTTTTCTGATGCTTATGTACATTGGAATACATGAACACCAAACATTGTACAACAGTTGGTTTTGTATTAAAAAACATGTTATAGAATTTATTAAAAAGTATAAAAGCAAAACATGTTCAAGTATTAAGTAATAAGTACAGAAGTATTAATTATACAATAATTTGCTGGATAAGCGGAAGTAATAAACGAGTGCTGCATACCAATAGATTGTTAAGCAAGCATTTAACTGCCGTTTAACGTATCAGTGACATGTGCCTAATGATATGTCATGTATTGTTGGGCACTTTTAAGTGGGTATACTGAAATTCTTAAGCTTTTCTAGCGGGTATACTCCGCATGCCCGTGTATCACGTAGACTACACAACTGAGGTTTGCTGCCAGAAGCACAGGTGCCATCCACCAAGGATTTGTTAGGTTGATAAAAATATTTTCCTATTGCACAGTAATACCTCTGCTCTTGTCACAGTTTTCTAAAAGAGGGAAATACAAGTTAATTTGTTTAAAATGGAAATAGCCCATTTCAGTTGTATTAGTTGTCTGAAGTCAACCATACTACTCAGTTTTGACCAGTTCTCATGATGTAGGAGAAAGGCTAAATCTATCATTCTCGTTCAACCTTAGAACCTGTCGTGTTTCTTTGCTTCTCCTTCCTGTCCTCTTAAACCCAGCCGGTCAAAGCAGATGGCCACTCGCCCGGAGCCTGGTCCTACTGGAGGTTTCTTCTTGTCCTTTTCCTTTCCACTGTTGCCAATGTGCTTGCTCAGGATAAGAGACTACAACAAAGTGAAGATTAACTTCAACCTGCTGACTTCCTTAGACAAATACATTTTACTAGTTGGCTTTTATAATGTGTGTGAATGCTTTTGTACAGTGCACAGAGATGAATTCTGTTGTGACTTGGCACTATATAAATAAAATGATTTGAATTGAATTGAGTCTTTATGGGGACTTTGTCTCTTGTTTGAAAATGTTAATGGTTAACCTTGTATGTACAGTTTTACTGCTGAGTTACCAAAAAAAAAAAAAAAAAAAAAGTGGACTTGATTGCAGTTTATCATGTAAAAGAAAAATGAGAAATCCTAACGTTTCCTCCATGATTTATTTGAGTGAGAAGTATAAGGACATAAAACGCAATAGAAGGCATGTTTGATATGATACATTAATCAGAATATAACAAAAAGTCCATGTGCTCAACGTGATTTTCATTCGGCAAATGTTAGAAAGCAAAACTGCAATAGCACTTCATCATTAGGATTTGCAGGAGAAGCAGTATTAATATCTCAGCTCTCATGCTTCGCTCACTCTAACTTCTCTTCCAAAATTTAATTAGAAGGCTGCTGAAGTGAGAGACAGAACACAGTAAGGATGAGAGATGGGGGCTTTGCTATCAGATGTAAAAATCAGTGGCCTCACCCTCCAGTGGCTGTTGAAATATGATGAGCTAAAGTGGGAAATGGGAGTTAAGGGGTGGGGTGGGGGGTGGGGTAGTTGGAGGCTGTTGAGTCGCTTCTGATAGAAGAGAAAAAAGAAAGTGTATCCTCAGCAGACGCAGCAGCCACTTTTAAACCACAGCAGCAGCATCAGAAATGCATTAGAGGTGTCATGTCTGTATTTATAGAGGAGAGGGTGCACTTATCAGAATAGAAACTATTTAGGATGGATTTTTGAATAATGCGTAATAAAACATGATGAAAATAGAAAATCAATGATTGTTTCTAGTCATCCAGAATTACTGAAAGCAACGTTTCAACAGATTTGACTTCAACCTTAAAACACTCAGAAGTGAAGTGACGCAACCCAAGTCTTTCTTCATTCAGTATAAAACATATTTTAGTGGAGAGAAAGCTGAAAGAAGATATTAACTTTAATCAAAGACGTGTCATCAGCCAAACGAAAGTTTCACTTTCTGCAAAAATCTATCCAGTTATCTGATTCTTTCATGTGTTCAAGGTGTGTTCTGGGCATTTTGCGGAAGCAAAGATTTGTGATTTATGACAACTAGTTGGAGAGAGAAACAAAACGAGAGACATGAAATACATATTCCTGTTGAGCATGCTGACCTCCTTTCCAACAACTCATCAGTCAATCCATCCATCCGTTTCTGTCTCAACATCCATCACTAGATTTACACCTGCCACACACATCAAAGTCCTATACTGCTTAATGACATTTCTTCTTCAAGTTTACACACAAACATGTATTTCAAAATGTTACAGTCATATGAAATATGTTTTCTATTTTTCTATCCTGTGGTTTAAAGGTTTGTGTTAAAATCTGTTCAAGTGGCTTTTAAAAATTGTAGTTCTCATGCATGTTTTAGTAAAAAAAAGGACAACAAACATTATACAGTGACAAAAATAAAATCAAACACAAATAGCGAGTGAATAATAGTAGCAGCTTTTATTCAAAAGTAGATATAAATTGATCCATTCTTGCACATGGTCCTCTGCTCAACCAGCACCATGTGTAGATTTACATTGCTCTTTTTTTGTCCTTCTTTGTATCAGTGTTAGTTCTTCGGAGCTGGTATGCTTTCTGCTCTCCACTTTGGAGGGCTACACTGCAAAGGGAGATTAGTGTCTCAGGATTTGAACTTTACATTTAATTCTCAATTCTCAGAAAATGCCAAACCACAATGTTAAATGGTTTCTGGAGTCTGCCCTCTCCCCTGCCGACTCGTTTGAGGCGGTCGTGGCCAAAGTGGTTCAAAACATCCTGATTCATCCAAAGAAAAATCCAACAAATGGTCTGTTTGGCCATGACGGCCTCAAACGAGTCGGTGGGGGAGAGGGCGGACTCCAGAAACCACCTGAGCACCGTCAAACTGGTTGATCCGCTATGAGAAAGTGCTATTTGTAAGTTTGTTGCAGCTCCTTGGACTGATGAAGTCTTTTGGATGTAAGACGAGACATTTCAACAAAAAGAAACCGTCCAGAGGACCTGGCTTAACTTTGTTGGACTAAATTAATATACTCTGTGTTTTCGAGCTACACACTCTGCGTACCAAAGTGGCTGAAACTGGACAAAGAAATTGAATAAAATATGAAAGGTCAGTATTTGTGATAAACACAGTATATATAGATTCAGTGAAACTAGCTTGAATGAGAGCAGATCTATCAAACTCTTTCAGCATGAATTTGTTTTTGACACAGGAGATGGCAGATCCCGTCCCACTTTAATCATCACTCATCCCTCTCTGACACTTCCACACCGCTCTTCCATTATACAGTGCATAAAGCTGTTTGAAGCCCCCATTCCCTCAGGCACAGACAGTTGTGTGTTTTCATTTGCTTTTCCTGCGAGGCAATAACCTTACTTTTAAACTGTAGAAGCCCATTACAGAGCCCTGGGTTTTGGTGCATCAGAAAAAAGGTTCTTTTTATGTAAACGATTGAAAATCTTTGCTTTTCAGCACTGTCTTTCAGATAGAAAAATATGTTTATGCATTTAATTCTCATTTTGCTGGAACTCATTACTCTTTTGCCTCTATGCATTGTTAAGTAATAGACATTATTTTGTGTTATTTTGCAACATTAGAGTTGCCGTTGTTGATGCGATGGTCATCAGATTACCTGACTCAAAGCTTCATGTCCGTGTTTGATTGTGATTGATGAGCTGCACTTGTTTTCCCCCTTTTTAGAGTTAAAATATACATTATTTAAGTTAAAAACTAGTGTAATAATAATAGTATAATAATAGTAAATTTTAGTATTTACTCATTTGCAATGAAAGGGGAGTAGTGGCGCAGAGGTTAGAGAATGTGGGCCAGTGATCGGAAGATCGCCGGTTCAAGCCCCTTTACCGACAACATCAAAAATGTGGGTGGGGTAGGTGAAGCACCCACACCTGCCCCCACCCTCATTCGTCCCACTCTGGGCCCTTGAGCAAGGTCCTTAACCCCCACCATCTGCTCCTCCGGGTGTCCTAGATAGCAGCTCTCTGCTCCACACAGAGGATGTGGTAGCTCGGTGGTCTGTGGTTGTGTCAGGAAGAGCATCAGTCGTAAAACATAACTGCCAAGTCTTCGTGCGACTTAGTTTGCTGTGGTAACCTCTAACGCAGGGAGCAGCCGAAAGAAGACTAATTTGCAATGAAAACAAAGTTGACCTTTAAAATGTATTACAGAGATTTCAGAAAGCACTGCAGCTGAAAAGCAACACTGCAAAAAGTCTGTTGCTAAGTGAACAAACTTTTAATTTTTAATAACATACCCTTATAAAAGCCTAAACTATGTTACAAATCCACCTGCAAATAGCCCTGCAGTGTTTGCTTCTGCTGAAAACATGTAAGACTCATGTTTTTCTGCATATAATTTCCAAACATTTGTGTATTGTCTAAGAATAAAATTATGTCAGCAGAAATTATATCTATAGAAAACGATGTTGTCCCGGTGCTTGACTTTATTATGTCAGTGAGTGCACTTCAAAAGTGTGTCTGACAAGGTATAAACCTGAAACATTTAATATTTATTCAACCTTTATTCACATAGTTTAGCCTCATTGAGTCTCAAGGACTCATTTACAAGAGAGACCTGTTATATATATGACCGTATTATAAAGGGAATTTTTGTAACATCTAAAAATAGTTGGCAAATATTAAAATGGCTATTAAAAAAACACAAAAAATATATATTTTCCAGTAAAAGTTTCCTGCAAACATCTTAACAATAGGTTCATTAAATAGTGCTTGACTCACACATATATCTAGTTTAAATATTTCTTGTTGAATACCATAGATGTGTAAGAATGTTCAAACTGCCAGGTGTCACACGTCTTGCCAAGTGTGATAAAATATGCCAGTCTGCCAACTAATTACAAAACTGCTCGCAAATTAAAATTAAAGCACCCAAGCTGTTATGATGAGCAGCTAACCTTGGCATGTCATATTAACCACTATGTGATAAATAACATGTGATTGGGTTGTTGTTTGTTCCCCCCCGTTTTTTTTTTTTTGTCTCCCCAGAGTCTGGAGCAAAGTTGTGCTCAGAATAATGACACAGAAATGCCATAGTTCTGTTTACATTTGGTACGGTTGTAGAGATTTACCTTGAGACAGGACCCACTGGTTGAGTTTGACGTGGTACAGCACAGAGCGAAGACTCCAGTGCTGAACGAGAGGATAGCCAGAAACTTCACTGTAGTTCACCATACCTGTGGGAGCATACAAGAAGAAAACATATTAACATGGATGCTGTCCCCTGGAGCTATAATGTTGAAAGGTTTAAGGTAGTGTGTGTTTCCCCATGTGTAAATCCCTCCAGAAAACACTCAACTCCCTATTAATGTTTTATTTACTCCTCAGTAGTTGGTGAGATTGCAGACTTCAGTGTCAGATCAAAGGTTGGCCCTGAATTTCATTCTTGTTTACTTTACCCGAAGAACCAAGAAGCAAAATCTAACAAATCTAAATACTATATTAGACAATAAGAGACAGGAGCACGGAGTGTCTCTACCGTTGGATCAAAGGGGAAACCGATCAGCCGCCCGTCCTCCACCAGAAACTATAAACTCAGGATGTGGCAACGATAATGTAACATTTATTTGCAAAGATATAGAGGAGAGAAGAGATGGAAAGAAAGGCAAACATCATACATGGATATGTGGAGCATTAAGATTCAAGCACCTGCCTGTGACCTCTGACCCTTGGATTGTCTTCCAGACTCACCCTGAAACTGTTTTCTTTAAAGTTACTTTTGACTTGAATAATGTTTGATGTTTTTCACACATTCACTGTTCTCAGGCTGACTAGTGTTTGCTCTTTTAAGAAAGAGAAAAAAAACAAAATCATTAATGATGTTTGATTATGATAGTTGTGAACATGAACAGTGTTAAACCTCTACGTTACTTAAATTTTTTTTTTTAAAGTATTTAAAATTGTGAATAATCTAATTCTACAAAACATTTACCATATTTTCAGGGCTATACGTCGCTCGGGATTAAAGGTCGCATCAGTCAAAAAATGCATCATGAAGAGGAGAAAAACATAAATAAGTTGCTTCGGAGTATAAGTTAAATTTATTTAGAAGTGTATTTCACAAAGTGCAAGAACAGACATTTAATCTGAAATAAGAATAACACACAGGAGCTGACTGACCGTCGGGATCCCCGGGACATTTCCCATTGGCCTGGAACTCAGTGGTCGCAGAGGGACTGGACTAAAGGCTCACTTCAGGTCACACTTTTATTATTTCATATAAACAAGCTGTTCTTGCCTGGTCTCACTCAATGTCTCATTGAAGCTGCAGCAGCTATGGGGAAAGACAGACCCCCGCCCTCTCCATTCCTTTTCTGAGTCTGTGTCTGTCACAGCAGAGGCACATGTGTTGCTCGCCCGCCCCCGTGGACTTACGCTCCTGACAGTTATATGTCCGCATGCCGCGCGCACACATGGAACATACCTGGCATCCTGAACAGGCTTAATTAACAGAACAACCCAACGAGCCTGACAAGCAAGTTAGCATCCTCGGTGTCGCTTCTGAACAACTCCGCCAACTCTGGAGGAAGGGGGTGTTATCTGAAGAGGAACAAATGTCTAGAGGGCCCTCTTGTGGCTACAAACGGTAATGTTTACTCTTTGGTTCATGTCTGTATGAATGAACATTTAACGTGTCAGTCAAACATTGCGTCATGAATAGGAAAAATAAAAACGTTAATAAGTCGCTTCGGACTATACGTCGCAGGACTGGCCAAAATTTGAAGAAAAAAGGGCGATTTATAGTCCAAAAAATATGGTAGATTAAAAAATGTCAGCTTTCTGCTGATGAATTTAAACTGTTTCATCAAATTTTTGGCTTTCCCCCCCCAAAAAAAAGTCTTCTGTTACACATAAAATAAAATTACTAAATCATTAACACCTAACACTATCTCTTATTTTATTCATTATTTGTTTTGAAAAAATAAAATAAAAGAGAACACATAAGTACAACTAGAAGCACTCGGAGCGCGCACACCTCCACCAAAAGCCTCGGGTCACTCAACCAGTAACATCTTGTGAACAAACAGACAAGAATCCTTAAATAATATTATGGATCTGGATGGTGATCCAGATCACCACCAAAATATAAGCATGTATCCTTTGTGACAAGTTCAAGGTTTCCTGAAAATCAGTTCATAACTTTTTTAACTAATCTTGTGCAGAGACAGACAAGCCAACAATACCGTGAACATAACCTCCTTGGTGGAGGTAATGAAAGATGTGAGCACTGAAGAGCATTCAGCAGCAAACAAGCTGCAGTACAAACCCCTCTTAGCGAACGATTAACAGAAAAGAGTTGACGTACAGATAAAATCTACATCAAAGAGAAAAGTTTATACAGAAATATCACAGTGTTGTTTGCTGTGCAGTTTCTTCTGATAAAACATCTGTTATGAAGGACAGCAGATAAAACATACTCTTGTTGTCCTTTTTTATTTTCATGTACTGCAAAATGTTCAGTAATTATTTCTAACCATTAGTCTATTGTTTTTTTTTTTTTTTCCTTTTCTTAGGATTAAACATTTGCTATACTGTATAGGCTGAAACATTGAACAATCTTGGATTTATTTTCAGGATTAAGCATTCAGACTTGATAGCTGCTGTAAAACTTAAATACCGTGCTTTCAATACAGACTTAAAAATTAAGAATCTATATTTGTATTCTGTACACAACAACAACATGGAATAGTGCTCATATTTTTCAAGTGTAACTTTTACCCAGTGTTCCTTTACAGCCTAGTATATTATCCGTATTGATTTTGTCTCGTTTAGCCATCTTTTCCCTGCTGAAATCGATAGTTCCCATCTCTTCTGCCTGAAGTAGTTACCCGTGTACAAATGTTTTTTCATTCAGAGGCACCGCTCAGCCTCTCAAACGTCATGCTATGTGTTGCAATAACCAACGATATTTCAAAGTATTCTGCAAAATCAAAGCCGGTAGTAGATGAAGTGCAACTTGCAATTGCACTCATGAGAAAGAGGAAGCATTAATCATCCACAACAGACAGGATAATCCAGATATTTTTAGTAGTAGATAAAAGAAGCAATCAACTTTTTTTTAACATGTTGTTTATAGACGGAACATTGCCTTTTAAGAAGTATGATGTGCTGTAAATGCACAATCCTCATTTTGTCATGGACAGTTAACACGCTAACATATTTTAACATTTAGAGGACTGAGATATTGATGCAGTACGGCTCTTTTAGTTTTGCACAATGATGCAGGAACAGGACGTTAACATCACTTTTATCAAAACCATAGGCAGAGTTGGAGAGTATAAATCATGTCGTCTCCCATGGCAACTGACAGCGTGTCATGCTGCAGCAGTGGGCTTATGGCCATATATCACCGTGACTGCCCCCACCGTGTTCACAACCACATCCAGAAGGTATCTGAATCATGCTGGCGGCAGAGACAGGTATCCTGCAACCACAGACACGGAAGAGGGAAGGGGGGGGGATGAAGGCAAGGAACAGATAAGAAGTGTGTGTGTGTGTGAGTGTGTGTGTCTGTGAGATTTCACTGGGTTTGTTTGAGTGAGATAAATCGATGCATGAGGCACAACAGAAAGGAAGGGGCTGCAAAAAGGACATCTACCATATGAAAAAGTGAAAGAGAAGACGATGAATAAAGAAAAAAAAAGTCTGCCATCTCCAGTGATGGGGGGTGCTTTGCATGCCTGCTACAAAAATGAAGATGCATCGGTTTCCAGCACAAAGAAGAAAAAAGATGTAGTGCACACGATGGATCTGAGAACGATGGAAACCATTACAGATTATCATCTCTCCATGGATAAAATGTTTATTTCTTTACTGTAGTCAGGTAAACTTCAGAGAACGCAAAATAATAGCATTCTAAAACAATTTAAACAAAAAGTACTTTTTTTTTTTTTTTAATTATCTAAGCAGACACAAGCTTTGATACTTAATGCTGAATTATCTCAATTTTTTTTTTAAGGAAAAACACACTGGTTTTTCATTCTTTGTTTCATATATGACACTAAAATAACCGTTAATAGAGATTATTGTTATTATCTTATTATTAGATTAAGTACATATTGGCCTGACAACAGCAGGAAACATCTTTTTTGATGTCATTAACTATACTTATGATTTATAGTTGCTGTTGTTTGTTGCTCCTCCATCGCTGAATTCAAGTATGTAAAGGAATGTTTGGATGTGTGGTTGTCTAAACAGCAGCAGTTCATCAGTGCTGTGTGTGGCTCAGTTTGACACTGTGACAACAACACATTATGATGAAAAAGTATAACAACAAATTATGCATTTTATTTACTTCATGAGTAATTATCTTTCTGTTTGTATACTTTTGCATGTCTTCCCTCTGAATTGTACTTAACAACCAGCGGGAAGTTATACTGCTTTGTTGAACTGTTTTTAAACTCCTCTATTCAATAACATCAAGGATTTAAATATGTTTTAACACACACAACTGTGTATCATTACCTGAGATGTTGGCAACAAACTATAGTACATTGTAAGTACCCCAAAGGTACTCTGGGAGCACCCCATATGTACTGGGTCATATTATGAGCTGCTACTATATTTGTTCTGCATGTTCTGCTTTTCCAGTATTAGGTTCATTAGGTTTATTATCCATCCATCCATCCATGCATCCATCCATGCATCCATCCATGCATCCAACCAACCAACCAACCAACTGACCATCCATCCATCCATCCATCCATCCATCCATCCATCCATCCATCCATCCATCCATCCATCCATCCATCCATCCATCCATCCATCCATCCATCCATCCATCCATCCAACCATCCAACCATCCATCCATCCAGCATCTTTACCCGCTTCTTCCTTTTCTGAGTCACTGGTGCCCATATCCAGCCATCACTGTGTGAGAGGCGGGGGACACCCTGGACAGGTCTCCAGCCCTTCACAGGGCCACATAGAGACAAACAACCATTCACTCTCTCACTCACACCTAGATACATTTTAAAGTTACCAATCAGTCTAACATGCATGTTTTTGGTCTGTGGGAGGAAACTGGAGTACACGGAGAAAACATGCAAACTCCACCCAGCTGGAATTTCAACCCAAGCAACCTGCTTGCTGAGAGTCGGCAGCTCTACCAACTGCACCACCGTGCTGTCCATAATATTTGTAAAAGTTTATAACTAAATTTATGTCCATCCGTTTA